GTAGCAGTTTCATATCCATGAGTAGCATGTATATATGCATCACAGCTTGTGAATCCTGGCCTTGACCAAATATGTTTTCTGGCACATAGCTGCAGGGTTCTATCTTTTCTTGTTTGGTTGTACAATGCATCATTGGCTAAACTGTTGCCACAACCCTTCAAATGACTGCCTTCTTGAGAATATTGAATTTATATCATCGTTTAGATAACATACTGCTCAAATAAGAATGTGTCTTTATGGTTTTGTGAAGTGTCTAGCTCATCTGTGAGTGACACGTGAATAATGACCCCAAAACAAATCAGCTTCATCCTATTAATCCATGAGAGTGACTCTCACATAGAACACAAGGACTGACTGCACAGAGTATGATGCAATATATGTAAGAATATAAAGATTCCTGCACCTTTCCTTGCAGATGTGACATGCCTGTCGGAGCTGGATGGAGCTGCTGACGTTGGTGACTGCGTGCGATGGGCAGGAGCTATGCCATCCCTTGTCCAGGAGTGCTTCATTCCCTGCAAAGATGACTGTACATTTACCCCCTGGTCTAAATTTACAGCCTGCTCCTTTGACTGTGAAACAACTAGAAGTAGGAAACGGTCACTCACAGGTATGATATTTTTAAATATTTGTGTGTTGGTGATACTTGTGAGTAGCGCTCTCAGGTGTTGGGGGACTGATGTTGGGGTTGTGGGAAAAGCCAGACAGAATAGTGATCATCCTTATTTGATTTTTGGTCTGATACTGATCATTGCCTGCCTTAGGCACACACGTTTCAGTATGATAATAGTGCAGAGAAACTCACTGGTGGAAAGGTGTTTTTAGACATAAACCGAATGAAACAGTGACCATGCTTTGTGCCAGTTTATCTGACCTATTAATCTGGGAAGCATGCAGCAAATACCTATAAAAGAGTACAAATCAGTGTGATTTTCTGCTTAAGACTGTTGAAATCTGGAGGAAGATTAAAACTGGGAGTTTTGTGCTCAGCAGTATCCCGTAGTTCAATAGGGCAAATTAATACTATGAATAAAGAAAAAACAGTACTATTAGAACAGTTCTGTTTGATCTTTTTATATGTATTCATTAAGCTCTCTAGTTCAAATCATTCCATGGAGCAGTTTGCCATACTTGCTGTTGTGGTTTGTTATTATGTTATTTGAATGCTGACCAAACTGAAAAGCTTTAAAATTCCTAAACATTAGTACGTTGGAACTGCTTGTTTTGCTGGGAGTTGTCTTCCCCCATGTGTAGTTAAATCAAATAAAAATGAATTATAGTGTTCTTAGAAGGTTTACAAGAAATTTGCTGTTATTGTTATCCTCAGCACTGATGTCTTTTCATGTTTCTGTGTTGTGTTTGAGACCTATGGTGTAGCTGACTTGAGTTTGCTCCATTAATAGAGGTGAAACTTCAAAGACTTCTTCTGTGGAGTAGAATGCTAACATTGCTGTAAGAATATTGCTGGGATAAAACCTGGGAACTGAATGGCAGCAAAATATGGTAGCCACTCCTGCTCCTTTCTTCTAGCCTCACTTGTCCTTGGGTGCATGGCTGTCTTGCTATTAGGGTTGTTACTGGTGGAATGTTCCAAGTTTTTAGTAACTAACAATTACAGCACACATATATAATGGCTTCATGCTGCCTTTCATCAGTGTGGCTCATTAAAGGATAAAGATTTTTTTCTTTTACATGAAAAATGGTATTATACAATGCTCTATGGTTTCTGGCAAAGAACATATTCTAAAATGTTCTCTGTATCAATGCTTCTATGCTTATAGTAGGAGAAATCCTTCATCCCTAGCAGAATAATAAGTACCTGATCTTGCAGAAAATATGTAAGAATTAAGTGAACACTTACTTTCAGGTAGTTTTAAATCTGAATTTTCTTGATGAACGTCTGTGCAAGTTGCATAACGTTACACTCCTATCTATCCTCTTTCCTACCCTGTTCTACATCAAGCATACATACTTTCAAGTAAGTGGGCCAAAAATTGTTTCTGATATTCAGGTTTTGCTGGGTTGTCTCCTCACACCACCAGTCTCTGCTCATATAATCTCGCTGGGTTTCCTTCCTCCCACCAGGATGAAACTTATGGTCTCAGCTCATGCCCAGTAAAGGTGTCCTGAGAAGCAAGTGGTGAACATGCAGTGGGTGTCCTGGTTGGGGACAGCACAACATCCCAGAGAGAAGTAAGGGATGACCAAGTCAGACATTGGGTTTGGTTTGGCCACATTTCAAAAAGAGATTAGTGCTGACTTGTATCTGCATAAAACTTCATGAAAATTGGAGGTAGCCAAAAGTCTTGAAAAAATCTCATCCGTAGGAACTCAGACCAAAGATTTAAGGAAGGTGCTGTTCTGGAAGGTATTTCATGATGTTTACAGAGCTCTTTATCCAATTGCATTTCACTTCTCTGTAAGCATGCATGAATTGGATCTCCTGTTCACCACTGCATGTGTGTCTATGCTCAAGTGAACCCTTTGGCTTCATTATAAGAGTTCATCAATAATATCATTTAGTGGGAATCTGCTAATTATTTGCTAAGTAGGTGCTTGCCCTCCACTCAGTTTTTAGTAGCATTACTCATTTTTGCTTTGTAAGTCATCATCAACTCTACATATAAAATCAGTCAGTACTTAAGAATTGAAAGACTTATTATAGAACAGATCAAAATTCAAAGTCATTATAATGAAAACACAATTTTTAGGTGAGTCTTCAGTTAACACAGTCAATTAATTCACTGTGTTATGGATACAAAGCATTATCTCTATTTTTAATGTTTCCCACAATTTTTATGCATTTTGAACTACCTCATAGTATTTAATGTATATAATATTTGTTAGTGTTCAGAAATGTAATTAAAAAATGAAATACTATTTAATTGAAGGATTTATGCCCTCAGAAATTTTGGAGGTGGTATTTTTGACAGTAATGTTTAAAGCAGTCTGTGAAGATGATAAAAATAGCACCACACTAATTCTAAAAATATTTCTTTGTGAAGAGTACGGGATCAATGTCACTTTTGCCCTCAAAATAAGGTTTTCATAGCAGCTTAATTAGAGGGAAGATTCCAACAAAACAGATGGCAGAGCAAGTTGGAAAAAGAGTCATATGAGTGTGAGATTGGTGGGAAGATTCCAACAAAACAGATGGCAGGGCAAGTTGGAAAAAGAGTCATGTGAGCGTGAGATTGGGAGCATCCTTATCTGAGTCTGATGTGACTCATATCATGATGGCAAAGCATGGGCACATCCCAAATTCCCATGTTTACTAACACAGTGCAGAACATACAACTGTACATATAGAGTGAGTTTATGACTCCTGTCAGCTTGTCAAGCATAAAATGCTGGAAATGCCACTAGAGAGCTCCCAATCTATTTAAAGCCTTTTGAAAGACTTTCTTTGAAGTATGAGGAGTTGCACCTGAATTTGCTCATAAATATATACATAAAATTGTAAACATATATATCTCTACAGAAAATATAAAGATGCTGGCATTATTGGATTTCTTTGTGTTTATTATCCCTTTGTGCTGGCAAACTTTACATTCCCCAGAACTCTGGCAATACAATTTTGAAAGAGCTGGGGCTTGAAGGACAGTGATATTAAGGGTCTGCAGTCAGTGGCCTTTACTTTGGAGGTAGATGTTTGTATGCAAACAGGGATTGATGAGACTCAGCTTGTGTGTGGTGAAATGACTCTTGGTTCCAGGCTAGAGAGAGGTTGTTGTGTTATATAACTTATTTTTTGTTTTCAGTGTCTTACTTGTGTGCAATACCAAAGGGAAAACATTTCTTTTGGGATCAAAGCTTTAAGAACCTTCTGCAGAAGTGTTTTTAGTGTGTCCAAGATCCCCAAGGAAAATTTTCAGCATGGGATACAGATGCAGTTTGTTACTGAAGATGAATTCTCCCTTCTGTGCAGATGCCAAATGCAAAGACATTCCTGAGCTCAGCCAGCATCAAGATCACTTCACGGCACGTTGGCTAACCTGTGCCAAGAAAAGCATTGATTTTATCTTTAGAGGCTGTACACAGACAGACATTTGTTCCCTTGTGCAGTTGTAGGGATGCAGGGAGCATGAACTCTCTTCTTTGCATTATTTCTTCTTGTGCTGGGGACCCTTTCTCATACCTTGAAATCCTGCAGGATCAGGGCATGGAGAGTGCAATTGCAGAGAGTTGTTACCACAGGTTTATTTTGATGCTGCTGTTTCCTTAAAGAGCCTTCTTTTAAAACCTGGTGAAGGAATAGAGCAAAGGAAAACATAAAAGCAACTATAACCATTGAAATGCTTTCCAGCCCTAATAATTTACTGAGGATTATCTTTTTCTGTTTGCTTCAAAGCACGGCTTGTGTGCAGAGCGCATCTTTAAGTAATTTGTAAAGTAACCTCAAAGAAGAAGTTGTGGCTAATGTGGAGTCCTCTGGAAGTTGTCCTGGCAACCATTGATTGCAAGCAACTAGAGACAAAACAATCAATTTATTTTCATCAGATAATTAAAGAAAAAATGAGATTATATGAAATTACAAAGCAGTTTCTGGGCAGACTGTTCCTAGAGTAAGACTTTATATTTTGCTCCTTGATCTACCCATCAAAACAGTATTTCCAAGTTCTCTGGTTGCCCCTGGAGATAAATACGTTGTCCTTGCACACCAGAGCACTGGCAGCAGCTAATAGATGCTTCAGAAACATTCCTGGATATTAACATTCAGATTGTCTTGGTTCTAATGTGTTGAATTCATGCAAGTATAAATAATATGACGTGTTGTTATCAAGAGTAGCAGATGTTAAGCTAACAAACAGGTTTCTGTGGTTGGAACAGGGCGAAGCAGAAAGCGAGACAAATGCCAGAACACAGAAGTTTATCCTCAAGTTGAAACTGAGCTGTGCCCCTGTGAGGTGTTCACCTCCCAGCCCCATGGGAATTGGTCTGACTGCATTATTGGAGGAGGTCAACCCGAGCTGCAGCTGGGAATGCCATCCCATGGAGCCCCCAAGGAGTGTGGCCAGGGCGTGCGGCTGCGAGCTATTGCCTGTTATGATAAGACTGGCAGACTCGTGGAACCATCTCACTGCAGCAGTTCAGGTAAGGAGACATAAAACAGCCACAACACGTGTAAATAGCCTCAGAGCTGAGCACAGTTACCTGCTCCATGTTCATTTTGGAGCTTATCATAGGTGTGTTCTTGCTGGAATAGCTTTCACAAGTTTGCTGTGAGTGTTGAACACTGTTCTTCAAATATCTTCTTGTTGCTGTTAATGCTGAGGTTTTCCTCAGCATAAAGGTCTGCTGGCATTTCTGCAATGGAAATGATGTACAAGAAGGCTAAAGCTGGCTATGCTGTCAGAATAACAGAGGCATTTCTTTTATTTCTCTGAAAATCCCATAGAAGTATAAGCTTAGGAGAAGGTATATTTCAATCAGCATTTTGTTTGAAGTTATCTCCTACTTCAGCTTTTACTCATTTAGAAATTTTTGTTCCCTTTCACTAATTTTGGAGGTTTGTGTGGTTGTTTTCAATGAAGAAATTAGGAATTTTCTTGAGATTATTATGTTTAATTACAAAATCCCTGTGATGTCATCTGCTTTCCCTCATGCAAAGCACACATGGCTTCAGCAGCCAGTGGTCTCCTCCTTGCAATTATGTGCAGTCTTAAGCTCAAACTGATCCACTGTGTGTATTTCAATGTCACTACTTGCTGAGGCTCTAGGCTGTGTTTCTGTCCATCTGTATTTCATGTATTATCAATTAGCCTATATCACACAGAAGGAGGGCAAAACTCAAATCAAGTGGGAAATGTCATTCCATTTTGGTATTTTCTCCCAGTTTCCATGATTGGCAGTTCATCGCAGTCACAGAATGGTTGGGGTTAGAAGTGACCTGAAAGGTCATTGTGTTCCAACCCCTGCCATGGGGCAGGGACACCTTCCACTAAACTGGATTGGTCCAAGCCCTGTCTGACCTGCCCTGAACACTTCCAGAGATGGGGCAGCCACAACTTTGAACAACCTGTGGTAGTGCCTCACCACCTGTACAGTGAAGATTTACTTCTTAATATCTAATCTAAACCTACCTCTGTCAGTTTGAAGCAATTCCTCCTTGTCCTATCACAGATATAAGCCTTTATCTTAAGAGCAAATTCTATAGCTGTGCTACCCCCAAACCACTACTGACTTAGAGTCAAAAGGCTTGGGACACCACACAGTGTGATGTAGTATGTTGGAAGACTGCTGGTGAGCTGTGTGGTGGGTGGGGGAGAAATGATATCTCAGGAGGAGATTAAGTAATACAGTGCAAGCTATGAATGTTCCTGAGTGTCTAAGGGAGCAGAGAAAGCAGTGGGGCTGCTCTGTGCAGGGTCTTCAGGATGAGGATCAGTGGCCTGAGCAGCATGCAATAAAAGGAAAAAAACTCTACCCTAATGAAGTGATTCAGTCCTGGAGTGAATTCCTCTCGCAGCTCTTGATGGCTGTTCCAGCTGGCTGCACGGGTTCATAAAGCAGCTTTCCATGGTTTGTGTTTCAACAATGTGCTTTTGTACCAATTGATTATACCTCTGTGGCCCATGAAGAAGGAGTGCTATACCTTTCCCCTACATTACCTTTTCTTCTGCAGAGAGGGAGCTGCTGGGTTTTGAAAAGTGGGTTTGCCTGTGGCGTGACTTGTTCTTTTGAGAAGCTCAGGGGTTTTATCTCTATTAAAAAGGAGAGGTTGTCTATGCGTGGGGCTGTTCTGAATAACCTTGAAGACTGTTTTCTGTCTGTGATATTTATGTGGCATTTTTAATGGCCTGGCTTCTCTTAGGGAGGTAATAGGGAGTGGTAGCTCCAGGGGATTATTGTTGGCTTTCTTGTCTTCAGCTTTTTATCTGGGCAGAAATGATTACAACACTGCCCTGGCACAGGGCCCATGTCAGAGACCAGAGGAGTGGTCAGTGCTGTAGACCAGATCCTTCTCACATGCCTTTCCTCCTGCACTCCATTTCCACAGTGCTGTGAAGACCTTTAGGCTTAGAAGTGGGATGTAAAGGAGGGGTGAGATGTTTCCACCTTCTGGATACCCCATAAGGATTTCCCCAAGGGTGAACTATTAATCTTCAACCAATCCCTGTTTAATACCCAGCATGTATAAGCTCTGAATTGCTACCCAGTGTTGAACACCTTCTGTTCCCTGCAAGGCAAGTGGGAAAGCAGTGTTCCCTCAGTCTCCAGAGGACATGGACATTTCGGTGACTTTGGGTGTAGAGTGTCTAAAAATGGGCAGAAAGCTCCATAGGCTTCCATCACTCAGGACCTGCCTTCCAGTTATGTGAAGATACATCTGATATTTATGGTCTCTAGAGCTGGGAACTTTCAAAATGCTCTTCTGAACACATTATTGAATTAGTGATAGAAACAAATCATTACCTAATTAATAATTAGCAGAATGCTTTTCAACCATAATAGAGAAGAGCAATTTACAGAAACATGCAAAACTGCTAAGCCCTGAGAAATTATTCATGGCAGTGTTTTTTTAAGCAGCTCAGTTTGCCTTGTTCACAATTAGTATCAGGTGACCTTTTAACCTTTGCTAGCTGACCATGATTGTGACTAATTAAGCCATTGCCTTATATATTGAATGCCAATCATTGTGGTATCTGGGCATTGTTCTTACCTTATGAGATGTGGGGTAAGCATGTTCCTTTTTTATTTCTTTCAGCTCCTCTGACTCCTCTTTGTTTCCTGCTCTTTTTCTGTTGAAGAAAGTGCTTTTCTTTCCTTTCCCTTGAACCAGGACAGAAGTGAGAAGTTGTAAGACTTAAAACTCAGTTCTTTGATTGGTCCTTTTGAAGAACTTCTACAAAATGTGGAAAGACAGATGTAAGGATGCAAACTGTGCCTCAAGAGTAGATTTTATAATGTCTCAAGTACACATAAAAATGTTACAGATACAGGTTATGCCTCGACTAATTTACCTATCCTCACTGCTATTTAATTGTTTGTTAGCTCATGATCATTAGGTATGACTAGCTTAAAAACACAAATCACAGACTTTTCTGAATTTTATTTCTTACTGTATCAAACCTTTTCTCTGAGATCTAGAAAAAGAACACACTTTCTCTTTTCCTGACTGGCTTTTGTGATTAGACTGCTGCTTCATTTTGGTGGCATCATCGTTTTCCTTGATCACCCATTCAATAAGCTCAAGAAATGAGTGACCTGCAGTTTCTAGTTGAGCTAGTTATTTTCTCCTGTACCCAGTTCATTCTTCCTTTTCTTCCTTTAATTTGAAAATGCACTTGTGAAATTATGGATAGAGGTAATTATCTCTAACTGCATTACAAAAATGTAATTGATAGTTTGCCTCAGTTTCCCTTCCCATCAGAGCACTGCCTTATATTAGCTATCAATACTAGCTCACTGCTAATCCAAAGGGTCTCCATTTTCTAACTGGTGTCTGGAGCATCCTCTTTGGACACAGAATTTTCCTTTTAATTGCAGTTCATCCGCTTCTCAATCTGTCTTCTGAGTTGCTCGTACTATTTTTGAATTTCCATCTCCTTTGTTTTGAATGATTTCACGTTGTCCCTTTGCTTCTCTTTCTTGTATGCTGTGCCAACAGGGTTTTTTTAATCTTAGAGGAACATAGGGTGCCTCATCTGTTCCAAATCAAAGGCTGGAGATGTCTGTGCTCCTGCATGGAGGTGCTGCTTTTGATCGGACAGGCAATTTGTGGAAAGCAGGAATTTATGAACAGTGCTTTTACTATTCAAATTGTGCTGTGCTCGCAACAACAGGAACCTGGAAGAAAGGCACAACAGACAAATAGATCCTGGCTTTAAATCACAGAGCAGCTTCAACCTGCAGTCACCTTAAAAAGCTTTAATTATCCCTTAACTTTATGAAGGGCACAGCAGGGATGCTTATATACCTCCTTATTATCAACACTGCAGTGTTGTCTTGTATGTGTTCTAGCTGCTGGTGGACAAATCAAAGAGGACTGGGATTGCTCAGATAGTTCCTTGGCATCTGCAGATGCAGGGGTGTCACTGGGTTTCTCCCAGGCAGGTTGCTACACTGCTGCTGGGAATGCTGCTGACAAGGGCACTCCTTGAAAATGCCAGTTTTAGTCCCAGTTGGGTGGGATTGGCAAACACAGACACACCAGGAGGAGTTAAAAACTTTTTGGTGATGAGAAAATTCCTAGTTTTTCTGGTTGCTGGAGGGATGTTCCCAGCTCTGAGGCACATCAGGGCAGAGTGTGTCAGCAGTGACAGTGCAGCTTCTGTCCTGATCAGCCTTGTCCCCACTGTTGAGAGATTTAGAACAGTATGCAAAGGTCATGGATCAGGAATATCAACTCCTGCTGCTGAAAAGCAGGCAGTATCAAGTCTCATGAAGTTTGATTTTCTGAAAGGTCATCTCAGAGTAATGTTGTATTTCTGCCTGGGGTGTTTCCCTGGGGTTTATACTCCTGTGTGTGGGAATTCTGGCCACCAGCCTGATAGCCATTGCATGACCTCCCTGTGAGCTGACACAGGGACCTGCTCTGAAACCCAATGGGGTGGCAATCCCAGCACTTTCATTTTAGGAGAAAATGTGCTGCATTCAGGTAGTTTTTAATCCCTAAATTTTGATCATCATTCTGCAGAATTATATTTGTGTAGCTCAAAAAGCTATAAGCAGAACTTAATAGGTTAAAGAAATGTGGGCCAAGTCTATGCTGGCCTGATAGCAAACTTATTGCTCCTCCAAGGTAGTAATATTGGGGAAAAGAAAAAGTTGGAAATGCAATATTGTATAGATGGCTAGTTATTTCTGAAAGTGTATAAATTCTGGCAGTTACTGTAGTATACATTTTCCATGTCTAGTCAATTTTATGTTTAAGAATGAAATTGTTGCAGAAATCTCTGATTTTGTTTGGAAAGTCTTCAGAAATTGAAACTTTTCTGAACAGAAGTTTCACTGTGTTTTTGAAAATATTCTTAAATGTTTAATTTCATTCTTAGCTGAATGAAATTTTATAGCTGTTAATTTCAGAATCCAGCTAGGCATTCTCTCTCTGTATTCACTGCCTAGCAATAACAAAGACATCCCTGTGTTAT